CCACGCTGAATTCCGCGGTTGATGCCGGGGCGAAGAGCCGCTGCCGCCGTTCTGCTGGGCAGTAGTTGTCTTCTTGGTATTAGAGTTTCCAGGACCTTCCCGAGATTTTGTATTCTTTCGTGGTTTGAAAGTCGAGGGCCCGCGCTGTCGAGGATTATGGCTTCCTGCTTTCTTTGGGAGAGTCACGGTTTTCGCGGCGATAGCGCCGGGGAAGCGGATGGACACCCGAAAATTGCCAGATGAATCCCTGTCACCGAAGCCCAAAATATAAGGCTCGATGCTGTGAATTTGCATCGGCTTGAGACTCTTGAACCGTAACCGGGATTGCGATGGTGCTGGAGCGGCATGCCAAGCTGCTGGAGGTGCAGCATTGGGAACTCGAACGACAGGTAAAGAACCTGCTTCGCGATCCTCGAAGATCTCCTCAGTCTCTTCGACTTGCTTGGCGCTAGCTATTCCGTCGCCAACTTGAGTCATATTCTCAGCAAGATGGGGGAGAGATACAGATACTGCTGCAATATGAAGCTGAACATCGAGAGGTTCTTTCGATGCTGACGTGACTGCCAAAGCATTTTTCTTCTCATGTACGGTCTTCTTGCCGAAAAGACAGTTGATCTTCTCCTGCCAGGAGGTTGCAGTCGAGACGGGTTGAGCTTGAGCTGGGACGCGAGGAGGAGCGGCAACCATAGAAGCAAATGTAGGAGGCGGTGGCGGTGCAACGATTTTCGGGGGAAGTTTGACAATGGGCTTGGGCGCGGGAAGGTGGACCAAAGGTCGGGTAGAATCACTCATATATACTGGATGACTCGACAGTTCCTCTGGTGGTGGCGGAGAGGGGCTTCGGAAATGCTCATCTTCCTCAAAGGCTGGCCGTTTATATTGCTCCGTGGCCTGAGGGAAGAATCGAGAACTGCGAACTGGCACACTGCTCAGTGGACGAGCATGAGTATCAGCGAAGGGTAGAGTCGCGACAGGATGATCGAAACCAGGCAGATGGTTAGAGATCGAACTTGAAGTGTCGGTTGGTCTATGGATACCGACAACCTGCCTCTGTCCACTCTGGTCGCCAGTGCGGACCTGTCGCCATGTTTCATTGAATGTGACATGCAAAGGCTGGCTATCCCGCATTGTGTTCATCTCGTTCAGGAGCTTCTCATTCTCTTCCGCTTCACGTTTAGCAGCAACCGCGTGGAAATTGTTCCAAGCGGTAGTACCGGTAACACGCGGTTCCTGTTGCCAATGAGACTGGTGTACATTTGGAGGCCCGATTGGCCCTGGTCGGACAACCGGGGTCATAGAGTCGTACTGCGCATGTCGAACATCGGTAGAAGGCAAAGGAGAGATTGACGTAGACTCTGGTTGGGGTCGAGAGGGTGCAGAAAACGGTTGTGGGCCAGAAGAGATTGGAGGTTGGTCGAGGCCGAGAGGACCACGAAGGGATATGTCTCTCGAAGGGAAGCCCCCGAGGGCTTGATCAAATATGCCATTACCCAGGGTCTTATCGTTACTGAGAGGCTTCCAGGGATTGGCAATAGAAGAAGAGGCGGTTCCGAGTTTAGTATTCGAAGACCAAGGGGAATATGAGCTCGAAGTACTAAGATTACTCTTCCATTGGGAACTCGGCTCTTCAATTGTTGATTCGGGCAATTTCTCAGGAAGACGGGACTGCCGGAAATCGCTAGGCTCCTGAGTTCCTGTGGTAGCCTCCAGTTTAGGATCGCGAGCTGGAGAAGCAGGACGTCGAGCATTGACCGTGGGAGCCGACCGTTCAGCAGCTCGTTCTTTTTCATTCGCGGCGACGAGCTTTTTGACTGCGTCGGGATGATGGACTTTCATCATCCCGTATTGCTTCGGTTCGCCAGTTGGCTCCGGTACCGGGGGTTTAGGAGGGGATTGTGCTGCTTGCGTGACGGTCAGGGACGCCTTGGCTTCAGCTTTATCACCTTCCAGAGACTCCTTGTTTCTGGATTTTGGTTTCTCGGGCGGTGGACCCAGTGCCTCCAGCTTCTGTCGAATCCTTTCACGTTTTGCAGCTTCCTCCTTCTCTTCTTGCTCTAACCTGCGCTGCCGAGCTTCAAGTCGCTTTTCCTTCATGATACGTTCCTGCATCGCGACGGGATCTTCCTGCGGCGCTTGCGCTGTAGCATCCTGAGCTTCTGGAGCCGGAGGCACTGATGACTGAGACGCAGCTCGAGGTGCGTTCGCGACACTGTCCGGCGGCCCCGCAGCTGCACGTGGAGGCCATGTTGGACCTGGTGGATGGCGGGCCGAGGAAGCCTCATGCATAGATGCGTCCTTCGGATGCACCGACTCTTTGCTCTGAAGGGACGGGTCTACGATTCCATTGACCTGCGAGCCTCTTCTTGCTTCAAACGTTCTCTGCGGCCCATCAGGGCGACCGATCGACATCCGACGTCCAAAGCTCCCACTTCCTCCGCTGACGTTGGATGAAGTTCGCCGACGCGTCCAATGCCCGGCATCTTGGCCACTTGACCGATGAGTTTGGAATGCTGGAGATGGCTCCGCAGGTCCTGCCTGCTCACCTGGTGTCGGCCGCTGTAAAAGAGAAGAAGGGCGGAAGCCTTGCTGCTCAGCTCGCCACGGTGCTTTCCTCTCTGGTACAGGCTCATAGCGACCCGATCTAGAGTTGTACAATTCACGAGTTGTTCCAGAGTGCGTGTCCTTCCACGATCGATTGAAGTCATCCGCCGCAATCTCCTTTGGGTGGACAATTCCGGTAGGCGGTTCGCTAACTTGGTGTTCTCTGACAGGAACACGGCCGGGAGGTTGAACCTGAACAGGCGGCATCACTGGGGATACCTTTTCAACAGGCGGCAGTGGGGCCCAAGGTGATTTAGATGGAGGAGCTGGACTTGTGGACGACAACGATGCCTTGTCGTTTGGCCCTTTCGACAAGATGGTTGCGCTCTTCGCCTGCCTTTCCGCATTTGCGCCAAGCCTGAGAACGGTAGGATTGGGTCCGATAGTCGTTGTAGGCTTCGTGACGATTCTGGTCACCTCTGTAATGGCAGGGGCTTGCTCTGGTGCAGGAGAATCGACCTTCGCTTCGTTCGCCGTCTTGGTGTCTTGGCCGGGAGCGTGTACTGCCTCCGCATGAGTAGTAAGGCTCGTCTTGGTGCCATCAGTCCATTCGATCGTCTCAGGAGCCCAGTCGTCTTCGTCGTCATCGATATCGGCCCATTTCGCCTCGGTCCCACCACCATCTTCTTGGATGCGAGAGGTCATATGAATTCCGTATTGCTGCTTAAGTTCCTCATCTGTCAAGTGCTTTGGTGGCGTAGGTTGCACGGCTGTAAAACTCGGACGTTAGAGAGGGGTTGTTCTCCCAAGAAAGGGCAAGCAGTGCCTTACGTCTATTTTTGTTCCAGACCTGATTTGGATCAGGTCCACCCGCACCAGCCTTGCCTGCTCCTGTTCCCGACTTTGAGAGCGAGTCACGGAGGCTGCTGGTCGTCTTGGCCACCAAGCGCGGACGAGAGCTCTGCAATGGACCGCCCAACGGCGTAGTCAAAGACGAGGGGGCTACGTCACGTTAGTAGACAAATTACTCCAACGAAGTTGCGCTTGTCTGTACCTTTATCAGACGGCTTAGCCGTAGCAAGCGCTCCCGGGGCTTTGGGCACGGAAAATTTGGCGAAAGAAACGGGTTTGAAAGTTGTCGGCTTCTTCGAGCCCACACGCTTACCGTCTGTTCGACTGGCATCTGACTCCGAGCCACCCTGGGAAGCCGTGTCTTCTCCGGCATCCGACACCGAGGCTACCCCGTTCATATCGAGTGCTCGCGTGGCAACTGGCCCGGGCCCCTGCTTTGAGATATCCTTTTCCTATAACCCATTCAGTAGCGCATTCACTTTCATATTCGTTCGTGTAGAGACTCACTGTCGATGGTCGTTCAGAATCGTTTTCTGTCTCATTCTTCGCAAGTGATGAGTCAGAAGCACTGGGCTCTAGTTGGCTTTGGAGATCGTTCGTTTCCGTCGTGGTCTGTGTTGTTGAGGTGGTATGTTGAGTCTCCCCCACGTCCCCTTCAGCAGAGATCTTGTCTTTGGTGCTCGCAGGAACGTCGGAAGGCGAAGGCTCGCCGCCCGACAGGGTCTGATTTACCACATCGTGGCTGCTCTGCTCTGCCATAACAATTCCCGAGTCTGTGAGATCCGCAGGTTGCGACATCTGTTAGACACTGGTCTTGTAACTGTGAATGCTGGGATAGTCGCCGCAGAAGCCATATAACTCATGAGAAGGCACAGAGGAAACGTTAGGAGAAATACCTATTACGAGGTATCAAGAATCGCCACGTTTAGACTGATAGCTGAATTGTTTGAGCTTGGGGGAAAAGCTCCAAACGACGAGACGAAGTGCGCGGTGGGAGGTGCACAAATCCAAGGGCTGGAAATAAAGCCCGAAAGAAACGGGCAGGCGAAATAGATGCGATATAATACTAAACGCCACTGCCCAAGAAATCCCAAATGGGAGGTCGCAATAAGAGTTGTCTTTCTCAGGTTTGATGACCGGGTGATGGCTGCAGTCATGGGTGACGGCTCATGTTGGAGGAGAGGTGGCTGTTTTGGGTTAGCGTGGGCCGAAAATGAAGTAAAGAGTCAAAATCTCGTGGCTGGAGCCGGAAGGATGAGATGTGTCACAGGCAAGCGGATTATTCACTGTCGCTAAGGTAAAAATGAAAATGATCTTGGATATTTGGACTTTCGGTCCTTAAAATTTCACATAAAAATCACTGGAGAAACAAAGGGTGGTGTTGGGATCGGCGACACTCCAAATTCTACATCTACACCTCATCTACTACGCGACTGACCAATGCACAGCGACGGTCGCTGTGTACATATTCAACGGGAATTAGAAGAGAAAAAGCCGGCATCAAGACCAGAGCAACTGGGTTGGAGGTATGCCTCTTCTACATTGCTTCGATCTAGGTTCGCTGGTATATACACAGATCCTCCGCAAGCCACACATAAGTGAAGCGTTTAGTGGGGGTGGTTCTTGTGGTGGCCTGTAACCGTTAGCAACGCGAAGAATATTCATGGTCGAAAAGAAAACGTACGAAGGTGGAAGTAGTACTCCATGCTGTAGCCGATGAGAAGGATACCACCAATGGCGTGGGCAAGAGCTGGAGCGATTAAGATCAGTAATTGCCGTGTACAAACTCAAGTCGTCTGGAACTACTCACGGGCAGCAGAAGGGTTCTTGCCGAAGTAACGAGCCTGGTAGCGCCCAATGAGGCCAGTGGGCTTAACATCGGGAGCGGAACCGCGAGGGAGTCTGGCGTAGAAGTTCACAACGCGCTCCATGCGAGCGGCATCCTTAGCGGCACCGATGGCCTTTGTAAAATGTCAGTCATTGCATGATAAGGAGAGCCGGTGTTTGTTTGCGATCGATGCTCAATGTCGTGGTGAAAAGCCTTTACTGGAGAAGGAGGGTACTGAAGGACGTAAAGAGCGTCGAGCAGACGCCATAAGGTGACTCACATTGGGAGAAGCGATCTAGGAAGCAATCAGCATGTCTTCACTGGAGCCGAACAAACGCAATCTCTGGGTATTTGCTATTCTTCCTTACCTTGGGGGGGATCAAAGTCGAGAGACCTCGGCGGGCGATGTAGCTCATCTTGTCTGAATTTAAATCTGCGTTAATATTCCGCTAACGCTTCTGAATGATAATGGGAATATGGACACCATGTAGCACTTCTACTTACCTAAGTACAGGCGAGTGAACCGTACAATCGATAAAGACGAAGTAGTGAGGATGTGCCTCTGAGATCGCGGGTTGTCGGATGAGCGGTTCCTAACGTAGGGAGCCTCAAGAGGCGCTAAACCGAATTTGGTTCTGCCGTAACCACCAGAACCTCGCCGCATACCTCACTCACGATATTGCTCTCCCGCTGTCGCCCGCTCACCTGAATCCAAGTTAGACAAGTCCGCGGCCATGTCCCTCTTCAGAGCAGGTGGCTCTGCCTGCCTTCGGGCGAGCAGAATTGCTGTTCCTATCAATGCACGTTTCAGCTCCACGCAAAACCGTTCTGGGGACCCCGGTGTCAAGACCACCCCAGCAGACGCACCTTCCACACCCGTTTCAGACAGCTCCCTGGTTCGTAAGGAGACGCCATCTGAAGCAATGGCTCGTCACCAGCCCGATTATGATGCCACAATTGACCATGCCACCTCGTAAGGGAACCCTGGCTGATATCCGAGAAGTCCACTGATGGCAATCCAGACAATACTCCCCTGTGCCCAAGCGTGTCATGGATGGTAGCGAGCCTGGCGACACTGTGGCTGCCGCTGTTCTCTCCGGAGCTCCTACAGACCTTCAAGCTCGAACTGTTAGGTACAGATTTAGATTTTCCTCCGTCACCCGCCGCTTTCTGACCACATACTACTAGGATTTACAAGCCTTCGAAGCCTGCAACGCAGTCCGGTACCTGGCACGGCCATCACTGGAGAATGGACTGGGATATTCTGCAGAGAGGTCACCGCTGGGAGAACCCTCTGATGGGTTGGCAGTCTTCCGGCGATTTTATGCAGGGTACTCACCTGAACTTCAAGTCTAAGGAAGATGCCATCCTGTTCGCGCAGAAGCAGGGATACGAGTACTTCGTTCAGGAACCCAACGAGCGCCGCTTCGTTCCTAAGGCTTATGCAAACAACTTCGTTCACGAACCAAAGAAGCTTAAGCACATCAGAACCAAGTGATTGTGTTATTCGAGTGTACTATGTATATAACTGCAAGCTTCTGGTCTTTGAAAGGTTGATTCCATAGGTTAAATGGATTTTAGTGCGTTTTCAGATGTCGTTCACGGAACACGGCGTACTGCTAGAAGACACTGCATTTATGGATATGATATTCTGCTGACAACTTGGCGAATCATGCTCAGTGCCTTTTCTTTCTAATTCGAAGTTAAACTTGCCGGAATTTCCGATCTGAGTCTCCTACGGGGACTCGTGTGACGAATTAACAATCTTAATCCTTTTGAGCAACAGCCCTCTGACTGAGGAGATCTTGGGCGACCTTCAAGCAGCTTTACTTAAGCCTGGCCTGTATGATGGTCCGGATGAGCTGTTCTGTGCGTGCCAAGTCCGCGTGGAGAACTACGTGTATTGTATGGCCATAGCATCCTTGACATCATAATAATTATGAAGGTCCAGATGGCTATGTATTCTAATGAAAAATCTCTAAGGGAGTGTGGCTAAAACTCAAAAGTAGTCCAACATGGAACCGCTGTAAGCCAATATCGGTAGCATATACTCCGTAGAGAGGTATGCCTATGAGACAGATGGTCCAAGGCTCAAAGCGGAGTTAGAAGGAACGTACGCTCAGCCACTCCTATCCTAAATCGAATGCGTCATATCGCCTTGGGCTCTGAACAAATGATGAATAGTGAAGTGTTTTGAGTCGCAATCATACGACTATAACAGGCATCGGATTCGAAGAATAGATGGATGGCCCTGTTAAGGATAGCGAGTTAGGCTAGTCGCTGCGGCCACCCCCGCCACCCCACCTAAAATTTATTATCTCATTGAGATAAGATCTGAAAATTTAGATGTTCATGCTCTCTGAGTAAACGTTTGATGCTCTAGCATCCTCAAATCCAGTCAGTTTCAATTTCAACCTGTCACCTTCTCCAACCACCTTCAGAATACCACCATGTCCCCTTCTGCAACCGATACCCCACAGGGCGTGGATCCCACCATCCTCACTCTTCGCAAAGTCCTCACATCCGAATCGGAGCCGCTCGCTCGCCGATTCCGTGCCTTGTTCTCCTTGAAGCACCTTGCGTGCCTGCAGCCGCCTACCGAGAAGACGCTGCCCGCAATCCAGGCTATTGCTGCTGCCTTCACTTCACCATCCGCCTTGCTGAAACATGAACTTGCATACTGCTTGGGCCAGACCCGGAATCCGGAGTCTGTGCCGTTCCTACAACAGGTCGCGAAGGACACGGAGCAAGATACAATGTGCCGTCATGAAGCCGCAGAGGCTCTGGGCGCTTTGGGTTACGAGGACAGCTTGGAGATCTTGAAGGCTCTTAGGGATGATCAGAATGAGTCCGATGTTATCAGAGAGACCTGCGATATTGCAGTGGACAGGATTCTCTGGGAAAATTCAGAGGCAAGAAAAGCCGAGAAATTAAAGACAAGGTAGGAGGCATCTGTATTGATTCACCCTGTTTCTTTCTCTATGCAAATGGCTTATTGTATCGTGTGTACCAATTCACAGTGACTTTACCTCGATCGACCCCGCTCCACCGCTTCCAATGGCGGCCAGTGAACCTTCCATTCCCGAAATAGAGAAGACTCTACTCGACACAAGTTTACCATTGTTTCAGAGATACCGTGCGATGTTCGCCTTGCGCGACCTCGCTTCTCCTCCCGATCTTCCCACAGCGACTCGCGCTGTCGAGGCGCTGGCCAAGGGCCTCAAAGATCCGTCTGCACTTTTCCGCCATGAGATTGCGTTCGTCTTTGGTCAACTCTGCCACCCTGCGTCAATTCCAAGCCTCACTGAAGCGCTTAGCAACCAAAGCGAGGTCGGTATGGTGCGACACGAAGCGGCCGAGGCTTTGGGAAGCTTGGGCGACTGTGAGGGTGTCGAGGAGACACTAAGAAAATTCTTGAACGACCCGGAGCAGGTGGTAAGAGACAGTGTCATTGTGGCTCTCGATATGGCGGAGTATGAAAAGAATGGTGAAGTTGAATATGCTTTGGTGCCTGATGCTGGCGTTGCTGCTGCTTGAATGATCCGGTGTCGAAGGTACAGCTTTACAATATCGGTATTGCGCTTGATTTGTTGCTCCCATAGACGTAAAATCATAATCTTGAATAGATACTTCTTCGGTCTCCTAGTTGTTTGTGGTTTCCCTGCAGTCATACAAGATCAGTATTGAGCCCGCAGATGCAATTTGAAGAATCAATGGTGGAGATTGCGTACTTGTAACCGCAAACACAGGTGTAGAACACTGTACTTCCTTCATCTGCACTGCGCAATTGCACTGTTGTGAAGTACATCTCCTTCCTCCCACATCTGGCACATGTATGCTGTGTCAATGCTTCAGTTCGCTTATCTTCAGCTGTCAAGGTCTGAACTGCAGATCTCTTGGCTCTCAACGTCGACGGGAAGGCATTCGGTTTTGACTCAGAGATGATCGTGTTGGGGACAGTATCTGAGGGCAAAATTAGCGCAAGCTCTCGCCTCAAATCCGCACAAATGAGGCCAACAAACCCTTATTCCGAGCGCCGCAAACATCGCAGACAAGGACCTTAGTCGGATCGCCAGTCGACTCTGGTAGGAGATTTCCGCAGTCTGTGCAGAAAATTAAAGATCCAATGGCAGACATTGTGCAAGTCAAGTTTTCAGTATCGACAGATGTTCGAGATTGATCTTCGACCTGAGATTATGGAGGAGAAGTTAAGCAGGAGACAGAACAAATGTTATCAAATACAGTCAGGATAGAAAACTCCGAACTTTTTTTTCCGATGAGATGCTGCCGCCCAGAAGACCTACAGCACGGACCACCTGCTTATGTAGCCCCCGGTAACTAAGGACTACTGCCGGGCGGTCAACAGCGGCAACAAGAGAGGTGCCTGGCAGTAATTATTATTGTTGGCTGCTTAAGTATTGCGTCGCTGTATCAAGAGCTTCTCAGGGAAGGATGACTGGAGTGAGAGTTGACTTTCTTCGCTGATAGTCATGTCTCTGAGCAGGACATGTCTTTCCTGTTTCTATCTCTCACCTCTCCTTCCTAAGTCACTTATATGTTAAAGTCAAATTGCCGCTATGGACCAAAACTGGAGCCCGGCTGTTCAGGTCGTCATCAATGGCCGTCCTCAGGCGCAGGGCCATGGCTCTGGAGGAGTTTCGCAACGCCGGACCAGGCCATTGTCTGTTGATGAAGCTTTGCAGTACTCTCCTATGTCCAGCGCGCCAGTGTTTGGCTTAGGTATGCATCATGAATTTCTCACTTGAATGGTGAAGTCAAACTCACTCATGATACTCTCTAGACTGTATACTGCGCCCTGACGTTGGCCGACCTCCCACTACCACCTCTATCAATCATATCCTTCAGTCGGGTCGAACGGTTTTGAATGAACTAAATGCTGAGATACAATCCGGGCATGATGAGTCGAGTCGATTAGAGACATCTCGCGAATATCTACAGCAACTGCTTGACGGTGACCAGTTGACGGAATTGTAAGCGCCATTGATCTATAACCACGATACGTACGTAGCAACTAATAATTCTTCCAGCAAGTTCAAACTTCCCCCTGGATCCGCTCAGGCCAAGAGTTCCCTGCCTAGCCCACCGTCAGAACAAGCTTCTGGTCAGAATGAGCTTGGCCCGTTTGCAAAAATGATGCTGGATGCTACAGACATAGCATTTAGATGTAAGTCTCAAACTATTGCATTCAGAAACAACGTGCTCTTAAGCTGATCCGTCACAGATCCTACCTCGACGGAAGTCAAGATCGAAAAGCCAATGAGGAAATCCCCAGCGTGGAACGAGCAAGCGCATCGAGCGAATAATGCTACCCCGGCGTCTTACAATCAGTCGGCTTACCCGGCAAGTCAGCTGTCTGTCGTTATCCCAGTCAAGCCCATACATACTCTGAACGAACATGGCGCTCCAAAGAAGAGAAAGCTCAATAACGAGGTGGAGGACCTTACTCTGATCCGGCTCAAGGATCAAAAAGAGGAGGCAGATGCTGCTCTTGTAAAGCTACAGGATCTGTTTCACGAAGTTTTCCAGGCGGAGGATCAAATTGAAACAGAAACAACTGCTGGTGGATCGGCCGAACGACAAGATCCCGTTTTCTCGGTTGCTCACTCCCTTGACACAAACAGGCCTGTCCTCTCATCTGACGCT